CAGCTGCTGCTCGGCCTGCTGCTGCTGTGGCCAGAACTCTGCGGGGGCGTGAATATGCAACAGTTTATACAATCGCTGGACATGATGCGCAACGGATGTATGGTCAAATTTAAGGTGCCCATGGAGATACTGAATCGCATACGCGATGGCGATTTTGACATGGAGCCCAATCAAGATTTGCTGGTGAGTCAATCAGGTCAACCAGGCCATAGAGTCCAGCAGTCTATAATTTGTCTTTTTTTTTACTTATTTTAGTGCTATACGAAATGCGTGGCACAGCTGGCGGGAGTTTTGACCAAAAAGGGTGAATTTAGTGTGTCCAAAGCCTTTGCTCAGGTGCCCATCATTCTGCCACCGGAGCTGCAGACGCCAGCCAAAAATGCGCTCACCCATTGCAAGGAAGCACGTAAGTACAGTAAAAGCACACTAAATTGCACCCTAAATTCCAAAAGTAGATGTCAACGGTTCAAATATGTCAATATGTCATTTACCTGTCACCTGCGACAGACTTTTCTCTCATGCTAACAACAAATTATCTTGCAAACAAAGTATATTAAAGATTTAAAAAACAAAGAGCTTAAAATGAACAACTCTAGAGTAGCTTATTAAATAAATGCAATTGTTAAATATCAAGTGTTATAATTTAAAATCATTTTTAAATAATTATGTTATATAAATACGTTTGCAAAAAACTTTTCTGTGCATCTAATTGAATTCTGAATTATGCGAAATATAGTTTGAAATGAAAACAATTAGTTTTTCACCAGCGTCTTAACTAGACCCAAGAAATTTAAGAATTTAATTTCATTCAAACAAAATCCTAAAAAAAAGAAACTAGCCAAATAAAAGACACTATTGTCTTCCCATCAGATCCTATCCGTTAAATCGAAAATACGAAGGAAGTACAAATCTTAGACTTGCTTTCTAAAATTTTAACAAACAGCCTAAAAACATAAATTGGAATGCATTGAAGCAGATAGAAAACCAGCTAGATATAGCTATAAAATGGCTATAATGTGGGCGTGAGAGGTCTGCTCCCATACAAGAATGTACAAAAGTTAATGTAAATAGGTTACCTTAAATATCATACTTGAATTTTTACTGGATTTTTAAGAGTGTAAAAGATTTTAAGCATATTTTTAGGCTATTAACTTTTAAATACCTGGGTGGGATCGTAGAGAACCCAAATTTGAACTGCTGATTTCCACTAAATCTTTTTTGCTGAGCCCCACTTTAATATACAAATAATTAATTTAATTACAGAGAATGCCCACAAGGACACATGCGCGAAGGTGTTCTACATAAGCAAGTGCATGGCGGACTTTGATCGTGCACACTTTAAGTTTCCATAGCAAAAAAAAAGAGGTAACATTTTCAGAATATTTGGTATTCTACTTACTCTGTCGCTTCTCCTTGCCCTGTGGAAAAAGAAAGTGCGTGTTTGCAATGCATTAAACGTTCGATTTAACGGAAAATAAATTTTTAGCCAACCTGTTGCAATTTGTGCGCCTCGAGCGCACGTTTATTGGCCTCCGTTTCAGCGCGTTGGGCCACCTCATCGATGAACTCGTTCAGAATGGCCATGTTGTTGGGATTCTGTTTAAATTGCTCGATGCGCGCCTCCAGAGATTCCGTTTCGATTTTGTTCACACTGTCTGGTGAGGCGGGCTCGGGTTCCGCAAATCTTGCGTGCATTTTTTATGTATTTAATTGAATATTTGGAAAAATATTTTAAAAATTTCCTGCCACTCGTGAGCCTTTGCCCTTGTCTAAAGCACACACGCACACACACACACACACTCTGATTCGGTATGTACAAGGAGTTTGCTTTGTGCTGTGCGTTTTGGTTAAAAATCAATAGTTGGCCACTTCTGGGGCTCCCGCACATGCGTGTTGGGCGCGTGTTGCGGAGTGCACAATTGTAAATATTTGCATGGGGGTAGCTTTCTGTTAATGCTGTTTATTGCATGTGTTGTATAAACTAGGGTTTTGCACTTAAATGACTAATAAAAGGGGCGAGAGGTGAGAATAAGGCTATTCCAGATGCGATAAATCATCCAGTTCGGGCGGTGCGCGCACTATTTCCGTTTCAATGATCAACGAATTGGCATCCACAATGCTCTGAAATGCGTATAAACAGCATATTAGAGTGGGGGTGTTTTTAGGGATTTGGCAGGTACCCAGGACTGCTACACACATTATCATTGCTGCGCGCTGTTAGCAAACTGTTTGCACCGCCAGCACTGCCCGCTGAGGATGAATTTGAATTTGAGGCATTGGCGCCATTCGCCGAAGACGATGACATCACCACACTGTGCGGTGAGCTGCCACGGCGCACCACCTTCGCCTGTGACTGCTGTGGTGAATTCTGTGTTACAATCACAAACTTTTGTGCCGGTTGATTCGCTTGTATGGCGCGTATTTGTGGCAGGGCGGCAACAACAGGACTGCTAAAAAACAAGAGAATTGCTTATTAATATTTCAATTATTTCGAACAAGATCATTCCTAACTAGCTGACTCCACATTACACAAACTACAAATTACTCTATTCTAATTACTCTCACATCACTTTATTTCCATATTTGTTCCGACTGTCTGATCAATGCACAGCTCAGCCCGTATGAGCTAGATAAGGCTTCACGCTAGGGCGGGGTTTAGGGAAATTCCACGCGGAAGTGTGAAAAAACCGGGGAAAACGGTTGTATGAAACTTTTCTGTTTTCTATCACATAAGCTCTTCTTGAAAGTTAATGAAAAAGTGCCCGTAGGGCGTTAAATAGATGGAAAATGAATTTCTAAAGATGTGGAGTGAAGTCGGCCAAAGCCGGGAAATCTCAGATAGTGGATATATATTCATGTAATACAGGGTATAATTTATATCCATTACTAGATTCTAATTTCTTAGTTAACATAAGATCAGTTAGACAAGAAGCTATACAGATAATAGCTTATATATAAGTGAATATCTTACCTCTGTCTTTGTGAGTTGGGCATGGACACGCGTCCAATGGTTGTGGCAGTTTGAGCGGCACTTGTTATGGGCGCGGTGTTGATGCTGCTTGAGGATAACGTGACAGTGCTATTGGCTGGTGCATTGCGCACCTTGACCACAGCCTGGCACAACGAAGGACCCAAGAAACCAAAATCTATTTTATATTCTTCGGCAATGTCGGGGGCTGCGCGCATTTGCTTTAGTATAGGCGGGCAGCATTTTTGGAGCATGGCACGTATATGGCCAGCGGCTGTTTTATCTGTATTGCTCATCGAGGTGCCCAGCAAATGTGGCTCGATGCGTTCCGATATGAACTTGAGGCGTGGTATAATAAACACTTTAATAACTTCGCCGCCCAGCTCTGAGAGGCCCGCAATGGAGCCATACAGCGATGATAAATGGGTTTTATCGTTTTGCAGAGCCTTGCTAAAGATCCTGTAAAAATTACAAATATTAATGATGATATATCATTGGATGAAATCTTTAGTGAAATTACCGCGTTACACGCGTTTGCAGGTTGTTTGTAAGCGTGTTGAATGTTTTGCAAATTTGCGCCATAAGGCGGGAGGCAAAATCACGCAATGCCCAATGATTGTCCAACTCAGGGCGCATGCACAGTTGCTTGGATACAATGCAGGTCATCACAGAGGGTATTAGTTCATGTAGCTAAAAGAGTGAAAAGTTAATTGTGATCTCTATAAAGTTAGCTGTTGCGTTAGCTTACATATTTCTCCAGGAAAAGCGATGGATTGTCTAGGAGGGCACGCACCATGCGCATCAAATAAATCAGCAACGCCAAATTATTTTGGACGACATTAACCTTGACGCCCTCGGCAATGAATGTGCACATGCGAGGTAGCATTTCGTGTAGGCCGGGATCAGAGCCAAGCGATTGGAGCGCTTCTGCGCGCCTCGGCTCATCCGACCCGACGCAGGCCTCGGTGATCTCCTTATAGTACAGCTGCTGTTCCACAGATAACTCGTGCGTTGCCAGTTGCTTGACGTGTATTGTTTCCACATTCTTAAGTTTGTGTATTTTGCCAGTGGTGGGTTTTCCGGCGGCATCTTTATTGAGTCCTTGGTCCAGTTTAATAACGGGATTTACGGAGTCCAGGAACTGTGAGTCCTTGGAGAGAGGTGGCGGATTTTCCGGAACAGTGGGTTGTATGCCCTCCACAACAAACCAATGTGAGCGCAGCGTCAGGTCCAGTGGTATCTTTACCGAGCTGTTTGCGGTTATCTCACTTAAATCGATCTCCTTGTCCTCAGTGAAATGCAACTCCCGACCGCCGCCGGAGGCGAAGCGAAAGGGTATAAAGTCCTTGGCAACGAATCCATACTGCGGCTCAATGTTACGCACTTTTAGTGACATATCGATGTCTTTGACAGACAGCTTTTGGCGCTTGGCATGGTGCATGAATTTGGCGGCATCCTGCACAATGCGCTTAAGCTTAATGGAAACATCTTCTGCCAGCTCTTTGGCGGCGTCGTCGGATAGAGAGCCCACTCCGATGCTTTCGGCTATTACTTTCATTGATTCGGCTGATATGCTGGAACCATACAGCATGCTGCTAGCTGCACTGCTAGTTTTGGACGATTTATTGCTCATTTTAACAAATAAACAAAGATTTTTCACCCAGCAACAGTATTTATCTTCCTCTTGCTACGGGTAGAGGTGGGAGAATAGCGTTGCCGATTTCCCTGATGACACATTCTGTTGGCTAGAGTTATCGAACTAAAATCTGTTTGACTTGATTTTAGATCGACTGCGATTGAAATGTACAAGATATTAAATTTGAAATGTAAAGTTGTTAGTTATAATGTAAAATGATCATTAATAGATAGTTATCAGCTTTCTGCCTTTATTAGTTTATGGTACAACTGCGAACAGTGTTGGTAAGATGACATTGCCCTGCTGATTCTCAATCGAATACTCGATAGCTGACTAATCGATGCGGGCAAAACATCGCTTTGTTTTGCCATCCCTAATTCGTAGTTTCTTTTCTTTATTTATGTTCATACCTTGTGGCTTTTTTGTTTTATTATTGAAATTATAGATTATAGTATGCAAAATATTGCAAACGTTATGCCATAAACCATTTAAAACCTGTGCAAGTGTAAAATATGTTTAGCAATTATATTGAAGTGCATTGAAGCATGTCGTGTCGCGCCTTTCGAACAAAGCAGCAGCAGTGAAAATTCAACGCGAGACTGCAGGGTGAAAACGGCGCCATTTTAAGAAGCAAAACAAAGCCACACGCAAAAGCAGAAAGTAAAACTTGAATGCAATGCAATTAAAGGCGCAAAAAGCATATGCATATGCTCAAATAACAATTTTATTATCGGTGTGCATAATCAATTGACGCTACAAAAAAATATTACAAAACGTAAGTGTGCATGTGTGTGTGTGTGTTAGTGAGTGGTGCTCCCTACAGCCCCCGCCCCCACAGCCGTTGCTGTCTGTGGCGTTTTGTGGTTTGACCTACTTAAATTGTCAAAAATTCTGAACGTGCTGTAATTAATGTGACCCGGTTAATACAATTTTGCCAACTTCCTCGCACAGCTTCGCCCTCGAGTCGAAATATGAGCAGTGGCCAAAATGAGGCATCAGCAGCAGCAAAAAAGGAAAAGGTTCTCGAAGCGCAGCAACGTACACAAGAATCCGGCAGTGAAAATGAGGTAAATCGCGAAAAACTATAAATTTATTTATAACCCAGGTGTGACGCATTAAATAACCACATAAAATTAACATTAAGTTTTACGACACACATACATACACAAATACATATGTATGTATACCATATGATATGCTCAAGTCCTTTTGCCGCGCTACTTCTAGAAAAACACCAGCCCACATTTGGGTATTTCCAGAAAACATTTAAAATCAATTAACACACGTAACGTGGCTAACGTTTTAAACACCATCAAAAGATTAACATTATACGTTTTGTATGTCTATGTAGAGAGCTTTATAGTTTTGGCATGAAAAGTGTAATGCGAAATGTGTATATTATATGTATATAGCTGCCATATATATCGATCGATCGAAAACTAAGTTCCATCATGCTTCACAAATCTGAGTAAATCACGATCTATATGAAGAATCCTTCGAAAAAGTTCTCATAGGGATAGCACACCTTCAGGCATCATAAATTGCTGTTTTAATTAACTTAAGTTATTTACATATAATTAACATATTTTTGGTTTTTTAGGAAACCGACTCTATTACGGATCAGTCGAGTCAATCGAAGTCTACGAAATCAGCAACACAATTTAGCGTGCAACGTTCGGATACTGATGGACTGCGCATGAAAATATCGGCTATAAGGAACCCGCCCTCAACAACAGCAACAAGTTTGACAAATTCAACAGCTACTAAAGAAACAACAAAAACTGCGTTAACAACAGTTGAAAACAGCTCACGTAAAAAGCTAGCAAAGGTGCGAAAGATGAGCGAGGCTCAGGAGTTGAGCGGCTGCTCAGCGGATGGCAAGGAGAAGCATAGAGAAAAAGAGAAGGAGAGGGATAAAATGTTGTCGACAGTAAACACAACCAAAAAGATTAAAGTCAAGCGCAAGAAAATTGCGCAAAAGAGCAGCAGCAGCAGCAGTAATAACAACAATAACAATAGCAAAACTCTTCGCAAGCCTGCAGCAGCTTTTAGTTCCGATTCTGAGGATGATTTGCCCTTAAAGGTGCATATGCAACGGGCGCCACGATTGCTGCTAACAGCTATTGGCGGTAGCCAGGGCCAGGGCGAAAACCACATGGGTATCTCTAGCAGCGACAACGAGGAGCTAGTGAGAGCAGCGGATCTGGTGAAGGCAGCGATCAAGCGCGTAGAAAGCGATGCTGAGGATAACGCCAGCGTGGCAGCTGGTGTTGCTGCTGCGAAAATTAAGCAACAGCTGCCGCAATATCAATCTACGCTCCTGAAGGACTTTATGGAAAAAACGCAAAGATTGAATCAGCCTGGCCATGCCACCAGCTTACCCAAAGCAGCGATGCAGCCAAGTGCAGCAGCGGCAGCAGCAGCAGCAGTTAATAACAGCAGCAGCAACAACAACACACTATCGCAGCCACTGCAACGCAAGCGACGCGGTCGCCCAAAAAAGTTGCAACCAACTGTTGCCACCAGCGCACCTGCTGCTCTTCCTGTTGCCGTGCCCACCATAAACGAGTCGGCAGATTCGGGTGTGATAAGCACAACGCCTTCGCCCAAAATGCAGCAGTTGCTGATCAGTGATAATGCCAAGCCCAAAATAGACATGGCCTATCTGGATAAACGCATGTACGCAACGGCGGAGCGTGTGTTGTATCCACCGCCGCGCAGCAAGCGCAGACAGGGCAACAAGAAGGTAAACAAAGAGGAGCTGCAAGTGGATCCACTCTGGCGCAAGATTGATGTCAACAAAAAGTTTCGATTGCGCACTGTCAGTGGCTACAAAAGCGATGGCGGCGGCGGTGGCGGCACCTCAAATACTATTTGCAGCAAGATTCTTGCTGCGAAAAGCGGCTACGTTTCGGACTATGGCAGCGTGCGGCATCAGCGGCACAATCACAATTCGGGCTACAAATCTGATGCCAGCTGCAAGAGTCGATATAGCAGCCGCAGCTGTGCCAGTCGTCGCATGAGTCGCGCCAAAAGTTGTGGCTATCGCAGCGACTGCAAGGAATCCTCCGGCAAATCCAGCAAATCACTGCGTCGACGCAGACGAGCCTCCATGCTGAGAAGCGGCCATGAGCAGGCAACGCAGGCGCTGAGCGATGAGCATGATCAGGATATATTGCAGCTGGCCGGCCTCTCACTTGGCCAGAGCAGCGAGGAGAGTAACGAGTATATCAGCAAGCCCAGCCTAAAGTGTTTGCCCAGCACCAGTGCCAGCAAAAAGTATGGTGAAATCAATCGATTCGTGGCAACTGGCCAATATTTCAGTGGAGCTGCAAAGCCAACAACTACAAGTGTTGCTGCTGGAGCCAACACAACAACAACAACCACCACAACAGCAGCAGATAATTTTATACAAGGTACGTATGAAAACGAAAGTAAATGCTGTTTAAACTAGGGCTGTAGAGTTTGAACCAGCGACAAACTGCTTGTTAGTTCGACTCCGCCTGCGATGCTTGCTTTTGACTCACAAGCTCACAAACTCTAATTTATATATTTAACTTTAATCTTAATTTTACTAATTATATATTGTTTTGTTCTAGGTAAAATGTTGCTGCAGCGCAAACACTCGATTAGCCAGGACACAATGCTGCCCGGCAAGAGTGCGTGCAAAATTAAGAGTCGACGCTCGTCCGCCGCGAGCATGTGCAGCAGCTATGTGTCCGGTGCCTCACGAGTGCGTCGACGGCATCGTCGCAAAAGTTTCAGTCATGCGAAATCGCTGAACATTGACTCCAAGCTGCTAACCGAGATTGACATAATTGCAAGTACATTTCATGCGCGTTGTCGCATCCAGGATGATCGCTTAACGGCGAGCAGCGGCAAGGAGAAGCTGCTCGCCGAGGCCAACAAGCTGCAGGCCACGCTCACAGCGCCCATTGCGGCCACGTTGCCGCTGCTAAATGGCGGTGGCGGCGGCGGCAGCAACAGCACCACATCTGCAGCTGCAACAACAAAGCCGCTCAAGCGGGCACTCAAGAAGCGCAAGCTTAACGAGCCCCTAATTGACTTTGCCATGCTCTCGGCCAGCGCTGGCAATAGCAATGGCATCAGCAACAACAACAGCAGCAGCAGCAACGGCGCCAAGCGGCGACACAAGAAATCGAGCAGCAACAGCGGCGGCAGCAACAGCTCTAGTCCCGACGATCACAAGCTACCGCTGAAGAAGCGTCATTATTTGGTAACAACCGGCGCCGAGGTGGCATCGGCTTTTGCCAGCAACGGTAAACTGAATGCCGAAGCTTGGGCAGCTGCTGCAGCGGCGGCCAAGAGCAGCGCAAATACCAAAGCCCAGGCGCAGTTCAATGCCAAGAAGCTAACGCCCAAAAAGCGGCATTTGCTGGTCAGTCAAGAGGTCGCCAGTGGCGCAGCCGCTACAGCTGGCAGCGCTTCGCCGTTGCGCATTGTCGTTGACAATAATTCCATAAGCGGTGGCAAGCTGCTGGACATAAGCCCCAGTTCGCTGTGTTCCCTGAAACAGCAGCGGCGTCAGGGCGCCAAAGCAAAGAACTTGCTTGTGGCCAGTGCGGGTGCAGTTGCTCGAGAGCTGCCCCAGCAGCTGCAGTCGCCTGCAGGAAGCAGCAGCTGTCCTCCGCCAGGCATTTTTGAGCCTTCCGTGGAGCTGGAAATACAAATACCCATAGCCAAACTCAATGAGTCGGTCATCACAAAATCGGAGGTTGAATCACCCCTGCTGGCCGCACTAGACATCAAGGAGGATGCCAACAAGAAGGAGCAGTGCCAGCGCGTGCTGGAAACGCTGCTGCACAAAACCGGCGGCAATTTGTTGCTCAAGCGCAAACGCAAGAAAATCAATCGCACAGGCTTTCCCACAGTTAGACGTAAGAAGCGCAAGGTCAGCGTTGAGCACACTCTGTTGCCACAGCAACAGCAGCAGCAGCAGTTGGAGCAGCAGCAGCAACAGTTGCCCGCGCGCGAAACACGCAGCAGCAGCACCCTTGCAGCGGCTTTGACAATGGACTGTGAGCGAGTTCCGAAGACAGGCGAGGCGCAGGAAACTTTTGTGGCACGCAGCAGCAATCAGCGCACGCCGCGTTTGTCTGTGGTTGCGCTGGAGCGTTTGCAGAGACCCCAAACGCCGGCAAACAGTGGAGGCAATGCCAGAGGCAGGCCACGTGGCAGAGGCAGACCTAAGCTGCAAAAACCACAACCACCAGCACCACAACAACAACAACAGCAATCACATCCGGTCGCTCAGCTCTTGGAGGTGCAACCGGCCAAAAAGCGCGGGCGCGCTGCCAAGCAAACGGAGTTGCTGGTGCCCAGGCTGGAGCGCAAGCTGGAGCCTAGCATAAAACTGCCAGCAGGCATTGATCCCAATACAAACTTTAGCTGTAAAATACGCTTAAAGCGACGAAAAACCATACAGCAGGAGGCAGTCAAGCAACTTGAGCCAGCCAAACAGCCAGAGCAGCAGCTGCGGTTAGATGTGTCCACGCCTCTGGCAACTAGCGATGACCGAATGCAAATTGCAGCCGAAGCGGCAGCCAAGCGCAGTCAGCAGCCAGTGCCAGCGAGTGAGCATGAACCCTTGCCTGCCCAGGAGTCCACATTGAATTTGGCCACCGACTATGGCAGTTGCAGTGATACCAGCGAGGATAAATGCAGCACTGCATCGCAGCGGAAGCGTACCAAACTAAAGAAAAACTTTTTGGTGGCAGGTCTCTTCTCCAATTACTTCAAACAGTTGCCAGCTGGAGCTGCAGCAACGGTTCCATCCACAGCTGTCGCTGTCAAGCAACCAAACAGAAAAGCTACCGATGGGGAGCAGACGGAGCAGCAGCAGCCGCAGGTCAGCGTTCTGCTGCCACCGCCCAGCTATTGCGAGCGATATTTCAGACGCACCCTTAACGACTTTGAGTTGCCGTATGATATTTGGTGGGCCTACAGTCACGATAAGCTGCCCACGCGCCATGTGGTGCCCTCTTGGAATTATCGCAAAATACGCACTAATGTCTATGCGGAATCGGTGCGTCCTAATCTGGCTGGCTTTGATCATCCCAACTGCAATTGCAAGCCTCAAGCGAGTGGCGCCTGTCTGGACAATTGCCTGAATCGCATGGTCTATACAGAGTGTGCACCCAGTAATTGCCCAGCGGGCGACAAGTGTCGCAACCAAAAGATACAACGTCATGAGGTAGCGCCGGGCGTGGAACGTTTCATGACCGCGGACAAGGGCTGGGGCGTGCGCACCAAGCTGCCCATCGCCAAGGGCACCTACATACTGGAGTATGTGGGCGAGGTGGTCACTGAGCGTGAGTTTAAGCAGCGCATGGCTAGCATTTATCTAAATGATACTCACCACTATTGTTTGCACCTGGATGGTGGGTTGGTAATTGATGGCCAGCGAATGGGCAGCGATTGCCGTTTTGTGAATCACTCCTGTGAGCCCAATTGCGAGATGCAAAAGTGGAGCGTGAATGGGCTATCGCGCATGGTGCTATTCGCCAAGCGTGCCATTGAGCAGGGCGAGGAGCTTACCTACGATTACAATTTCTCGCTATTTAACCCATCCGAGGGTCAGCCGTGTCGTTGTAATATGCCGCAGTGCCGTGGCGTCATCGGCGGCAAGTCTCAACGCATTAAACCGCTTCCTGCGGAACTAAAGACAACTGCCGGTGCGGAGAGTGCAGCGGCTGGATTAAAGGAAGCCAACGGTAATCAACATGGGCGACAACGGAAGCACAAGGCCAAGAAGAATGCGCAGCGCCTGCAGCAAGCAGCCAAAGAGGCAATGGTTGTGGCACGCGTGCAGCAGCTTTCCGAGAGAGAAAAGAAACTTGTTAAGCAGTGTAACATCTTTCTGGTACGCAATTTCGAGAAGGTAATTCAAATGAGTTTTTTGGTTCGATGCAATCTCTTAATATTTACGGGCATTTACAGATTCGTCGCTGCAAGGCTAAGCGCGCTGCGGCAAAAGCGCAGGCTGCTGCTTCACCAGCTGCTGGGGATTCTGATTTACCAGGACGTCGTCCATCGACACCATCGTCCAGTTCACTGCTGGCCGCACAAATCTCGGCACTGTGCACGCCGCGTAACATGAAAACGCGTGGCCTAACGCAAGCCGTACAGGATCCGGAACTGGAGAAGATGGCTAAAATGGCGGTTGTGTTGCGTGACATTTGCACAGCACTTGAATCGCTGAAAATGTTCGATCTGCTCTCCACGTTGCCCAGCAGCAAGAAAAAGAAGCAGCTAAAGACGACGCGTCTCGACTTTAAAACCATTCAAGCACAGGTGGAACAAGGACATTATAAAACCCCACAGGCATACGATGAGCACATGCTACAGCTCTTCGCAGAGGCACGTCAATTACACGGCGACGACGAGGGCAAGTCCAATGCGCTGCAAACGCTGCTGGAAAGCTATACGCAGCAGAAGGCGGCCAACTACGCACAGCTGCTGGATATACTTGGCAAACCAGAGGCATTGCACAGTTTTAAGCCCAAGGAAGAGGAGGAGGAGAAGGTGGCGGAGCTAGCGACAGCAACAGACCAGTCACAGGAGAACATAAAGCCGAGTACAAAAGTAATTGCGTCCGCGACGCCAGAAACTAGTGCAGCTGTTGATGTTGGTCCAGAGCTGCCGCCAACCGATGAGGAAGATGTGATACGTTGCATATGTGGCCTGTACAAGGACGAAGGTCTTATGATTCAGTGCGCCAAATGCATGGTCTGGCAGCATACGGAGTGCACGAAGGCAGACATAGATGCGGATAACTATCAGTGTGAGCGCTGCGAACCGCGTGAAGTGGATCGCGAAATACCCCTGGATGAGTACACGGAAGAGGGACATCGCTACTATCTATCGCTAATGCGTGGCGAGCTTCAGGTGCGCCAGGGCGACGCCGTTTACGTTTTACGCGACATACCTATTAAGGATGAGACAGGCAAGGTGCTGCCCAGCCAGAAACACACGTACGAGACCATTGGAGCGATTGATTATCAGGAGTGTGACATTTTTCGCGTTGAGCATCTGTGGAAGAACGAGGCGGGCAAACGTTTCATCTTTGGCCACCACTTTTTGCGTCCACATGAGACTTTCCATGAGCCCTCGCGGCGATTTTATCCCAACGAGGTGGTTCGCGTCTCATTGTACGAGGTAGTGCCCATCGAGCTAGTGATTGGACGCTGCTGGGTGCTAGATCGCACCACATTCTGCAAGGGCCGGCCCATGGAGTGTAACGATGAGGATCATTGCTACATATGTGAGCTGCGCGTGGACAAAACTGCGCGTTTCTTTTCCAAGGCCAAGGCGAATCATCCGGCCTGCACCAAGAGCTATGCCTTTAGAAAGTTTCCGGAAAAACTTAAGATCTCAAAAAGCTATGCGGTAAGTGCAATAGCTGAAATATTAATATGGAAATCATTAAATCAAATTGTTTGCAGCCACATGATGTGGATCCGTCGTTGTTGAAAACGAGGAAGCAAAAGACTGATATAGAAGTAGGAGCAACGCCCATTAAAATGAGCAGGCACGAGCAGAAGACAGGTCAGACAACGGGCAACAGAAAGCAGCGTAACACACAGGCAGGGACAGCTACCGGAGCGACTGCATCAACACAAGTACCTGTTCAAGTATTAACGCCCGTCGCGCCAAATGGACAGGTTAATATCTAAAGAATACCAATTGGCAACATAATCACATTTAATCAATTTCGTTATGGCAGGTTCTCAAAAAGAAGCGCTCACGCTTGGAAAATGTTCTTAATACCATGAAGCTCAAATGTCTGGATGCGCAGACAGCGCAGGAGCAGCCAATCGATTTGTCCTACTTGCTAAGTGGACGCGGCGCCCGACAACGCAAAACCAACTGCACCAGCAACGGCGGCAGCAGCAGCAACAACAACAATTCGGCAACGCCGTGCGCCTAGTGGATGCTAATATGTTTAGCCATGTATATAAATAACTTTAGAGGCATTGCGTACTATTTATACAAAAATATTAATAATTTTATGTTTAGTTTTAGTTAATAAGTTGTAAAGCGCATAAAACGGTGATAGTAGTAATTCTAGTTTGTAAATTGTTATGAACAACTTCTTGAGCAACTTACGTACGATTTTTATAAAAGCTGCAATTATTTATGCATATATTTTTACAATTATTGCAATTATTTGATTACACATGTATGCCTATGATTACGGTCCATCTTTATAGAAAAATTTCTTATGCTTTTTAAAATTGTTTAACATATGCATTTCCATTTATTATTATTATGTTTTACAAAAACCAAGGCCCCTCTTTTAATAGCGTTTAGCATTGTTATTTTAAATTATTATCTATTATGTTATGGCTGCTTATCAAACTACTTGAGCAATACAAGTAGTGTACTCATTGCGCGATTAGTTTTAAATCATGTATATTTTAAAAAATTGTTATCAACTTCTAACACAAATTTAAAAGTAAAATATATATATATTTTCATTAACAAGCAACATCCAATTTCAAAAGGCCACTGAATGTTCTTGTTATATCGATAGTGAGCTTTGCGATAGTAAAGCTCTAGCAGATTTTAATATCGATAGGCCTAACTCGTAACAGCAACCCTGTTTCGGGTTTCTTTTTTGTTGGCACGTTGATGAACGACCAACACATTGGAACTGTGCTTAATCAAATAATAATAATAATCAATTTATTTAAATTAGGCCAGTGCCACTGTGTTCCATTGTGCAGCAACCAATATTGGATTGCGTGATCACGGTCAAGTGTATAGCAGCAACAAGCAACATTAACAGGATGAGTCAATACGCGATCATTTTGCAACGTGAGTTTCCGGCTATAGACAATGAGCTGAAGGACTACGTTGAGGGCGTCCTAACAGGCAGCGAAGAAGATTTTCACACGTGCGATGACATCTTTGATGCTGTGGGCGACATACTGCAGGGTATCGATGGCGAAAAGTCTGAGGAGAGCATACGAAGGCTTTGTGATGAATTTTTCAATATAATAAAGAATAACTCGAAGAACGTTGAGCACAAGGTGCTTAATGCGCCTGTTAACATTGAAGAGATGGCCAGGAATATGGAGCGTATGGACAAAGATATGCAGAGTATATGGGTGGTCAACAAGGATGGCGCTAATGTGAGTAGCCATTCACATTTCAATGATGTTGCAATTAATACAATTATCAATTATAGAAAGTGGATTCCAAAAAGCTGGAAAAAGCGGAAGCTAAACTAGTGCAGAAACAGGAGAAACGCCAAGAGGTGACCAAGCTGGGCGTTGTGCCGGTGGCTGTTAAGCTGCAAACGGCCACCGCTTCTCAGGTGACCAACAAAAAGAACACCAAACTGGATCAAAAGGGTCTCAATCGCTCCATGGACATTAAAATAGAAAATTTCGATTTGGCTTTTGGTGAAAAGTAAGTCAACCCAGTTTAATAATCCCATTACGATTCCAATATAAAATTGTAATTTCCAATTTTATTTTTTTAAAGGGTTCTTCTGCAGAATGCCAATTTGCTGTTATCCTTTGGCCGCCGCTATGGTCTGGTTGGCCGGAACGGACTCGGCAAAACGACGCTGCTGCGCATGATTGCTGAACGTCAGCTGCAAATACCGTCGCACATCACCGTACTGCATGTGGAACAGGAGGTGGTTGGCGATGACACCTCGGCCGTAGAGAGTGTACTCGAATGTGATACGGAGCGTACCCGTCTTTTGACGAGGGAAAAGGAAATTCTAGCTGCCTTGAATAGCGGCGTACAGGATGCGACGCTTTCCAGCGAACTAAGCGAAACGTACGCCGCACTGCAGAATATTGAGGCTGACAAGGCTGTGGCACGTGCTTCTGTGATACTTAAGGGTCTGGGCTTTGATGCAGACATGCAGCTTAGACCAACGAAATCATTCTCCGGTGGCTGGCGAATGCGCTTGGCTCTGGCTCGAGCGCTATTCTCCAAACCGGATCTGTTGCTGCTTGATGAACCGACGAACATGTTGGACATCAAGGCCATTATTTGGCTGGAGACTTACTTGCAAACCTGGCCGACAACTATCTTAGTTGTATCTCACGATCGCAACTTCCTCGATACGGTACCAACGGACATAATCCATCTACATTCCCAGGAGCTAGAGGCATACAAGTGAGTACCCATTCTGATTGTACCCAATCAACAGATTTTCTCCAATCTCCTTATCTTTCTCAGAGGCAATTATGAGCAGTTTGAGAAAACCAAAACGGAAAAACTTAAATCTCAGCGACGAGAATACGAGGCGCAACTGGCACACAGAGCACATGTTCAGGAATTTATTGATCGTTTTCGCTACAATGCAAACCGTGCCTCATCTGTGCAGTCCAAAATCAAGATGTTAGAGAAGCTGTAGGTAAAACGAGAGCTTTAGCTGATGCTGATTAAACTCATATTTTGCTTTGCTCACCAGACCCGAGCTTAAGCCGGTGGAAAAGGAGACAATTGTAACGCTCAAATTTCCCGATGTGGAGCCGCTCAATCCGCCCGTGCTGGCCATCTCGGAAGTCTCGTTTCGCTACAACCCCACTGATCCGTTGCCCATTTTCAAGGGTGTTAATCTATCAGCCACCTCGGATTCGCGTATTTGCATTGTGGGCGAAAATGGAGCGGGCAAATCGACGCTGCTTAAGATTATTGTGGGCCAACTGAGCACCATCCACGGCAACATAGTGCTTCATCGTGGCCTGCGCATTGGCTACTTTGCCCAGCATCATGTTGACCACTTGAATATGAATGTCACCTGTGTGGGTGTCCTAGCGGAACTGTTCCCTGGTCGCCCTGATGAGGAGTACAGGCGTCAGTTGGGAAGCTTTGGTCTTTCGGGACCACTGGCTCTGCAGAGTATTGCCAGCTTGTCTGGTGGACAAAAATCGCGTGTGGCCTTAGCAAAAATGTGCATGGGTATGTATCAAAATTTTCAAATTCAATGACGGACATTCTATTAAGTTCACTCTCTTAAATAGCGGAACCAAACTTTCTAGTGCTTGATGAGCCGACGAATCATTTGGACATTGAAACTATAGATGCACTGGGCAAAGCTATAAATGCATTTAAGGTATGCCCAAAACCTTTATAAACACTCCCAAAGCTAACTTAGTTATGTTATTTTAGGGTGGCGTCATTTTGGTCTCTCACGACGAACGTTTAATTAAAGTCGTTTGCAAGGAGCTGTGGGTATGCGGAAATCGGACAGTGCGAGCTATTGAAGGCGGCCTGGATGAATATAAACGTGAGGTATACAAGGAAATCGAAGCTAATAGCTGAATTTTATTTATTTTACAAAAGATTGCGTGAAACAAAATATAGCAATAAATTTGTAGTTTGTCAAAGATATTTAAAAAAGATTTAATATAGAAAATATCAACAAAATATAGTTTGTAAAACTTACGAATAGCTTTAGCTGATAAGACTACAGATGGTGTCATTGTGTATGTGTGTGTTTGTCTAAGAATGTAAATGCAGACCATACATGAATGCTGGCAAGAAGAAGAACCAACAGTATAAATACCGCTGCACATTGAAGCTGGGTCTCAGTTGAAGATGCGACGCAGTCCTGTGCAGATGGTGTTAAAATGTGAATTTGTGCGAAAATATAAAATGCAAATCATCTGTGTAAACTAGCAAGAGGAAGATCCTGCAGTATAAATAGGGCTGCCTATCGAAGCTGGGCCTCAGTTAAAGCTGCGGGGCGGCCCTTTGCAGACGGTCCTAAAATGCGATTTTACTTGTGCTTGTGTTAAAATATAAAGTGCAGATCATGTGTGTAAGCTCGCAAGAAGAGCTAGCAGTATAAATAAGGCTGCATATAAAAGCCGGGCCTCAGTTGAGGCTGCGCCGCCGACCAGTGCAGATGGTGTTAAAGTGTGAATTTGTATAAAAATGTAAAGTGCAGATCATGTATGAAAGCTAGCAAGAAGAGCCACCAGTATAAATAAGGCTGCACATAGAAGCTGGGCCTCAATTGAGGCTGCGCAGCCGCCCAGTGCAGAGTGTGTAAAAATGTGGATTTGAGTGAAAATGTAAAATGCAGATCATGTATGAAAGCTAGCAAGAAGAAGAGCAAGCAGTATAAATAAGGCTGCACATAAAACCTGGCCCTCAGTTGAGGCAGCGCAGCCGCCCAGTGCAGATGGTGTAAAAATGTGGATTTGAGTGAAAATGTAAAATGCAGATCATGTATGAAAGATAGCAAGAAGTGCAAGCAGTATAAATAAGGCTGCACATAAAAGCTGGGCCGCAGTTGAGGCTCCGCAGCCGCCCAGTGCAGATGGTGTAAAAATGTGGATTTGAGTGAAAATGTAAAATGCAGATCATGTAGGAAAGCTAGCAAGAAGAAGAGCAAGCAGTATAAATAAGGCTGCACATAAAAGCTGGGCTGCAGTTGAGGCTGCGCAGCCGCCCAGTGCAGAGTGTGTAAAAATGTGGATTTGAGTGAAAATGTAAAATGCAGATCATGTATGAAAGCTAGCAAGAAGAAGAGCCACCAGTATAAATAAGGCTGCACATAGAAGCTGGGCCTCAGTTGAGGCTGCGCAGCCGCCCAGTGCAGAGTGTGTAAAATGTGGATTTGAGTGAAAATGTAAAATGCAGATCATGTATGAAAGCTAGCAAGAAGAAGAGCAAGCAGTATAAATAAGGCTGCACATAAAACCTGGGCCTCAGTTGAGGCTGTGCAGCCGCCCAGTGCAGATGGTGTAAAAATGTCGATTTGAGTGAAAATGTAAAATGCAGGTCATGTATGAAAGATAGCAAGAAGTGCAAGCAGTATAAATAAGGCTGCACATAAAAGCTGGGCCGCAGTTGAGGCTGCGCAGCCGCCCAGTGCAGATGGTGTAAAAATGTGGATTTGAGTGAAAATGTAAAATGCAGATCATGTAGGAAAGCTAGCAAGAAGAAGAGCAAGCAGTATAAATAAGGCTGCACATAAAAGCTGGGCTGCAGTTGAGGCTGCGCAGCCGCCCAGTGCAGATGGTGTAAAAATGTGAATTTGTATGAAAATGTAAAATGCAGATCATGTATCAAAGCTAGCAAGAAGAAGAGCAAGCAGTATAAATAAGGCTGCACATAAAAGCTGGGCGTCAGTTGAGGCTGCGCCGCCGGCCAGTGTAGATGGTGTTAAAATGTAAAATTGTGTGTGTGTTAAAATATCAAATGCTTAACATGTAAACTAGCAAGAGGAAGAGCCTGCAGTATAAATAAGGCTAAAGCTGTGAGACAGCCCTATGCAGATGGTGTTAATTTTAATTTTTTATTTATTTTTTAAATTTTTTTTTCTTGTGCTTGAATAAAATATGATATGCAGATCATGTGTGTTAAATCATAAGGGAAAGACCCAGCAGTATAATTAAAGCTTGCTTGTGTTTTTGTAGACAATTTTGTAAGCTGAAGGATAAAAACAGCATGAATTTATTTGGGCACGGAAATGCCGCTTCAGTCGGACTTGCAGGGAATATATGGTGAGTAGGCAATATTTTTTCATTATATATTTTCTCTTCATTTCTACTTGCATATATATATATATTAACAGAAAAGCCCGGCGTTGCCGGGTCTAGCCCATAACGCTACCCAGCCAATTTTCAGAATCGGTCTATATAATAAATATGTATATACATATATATTTATATATCAATTAGTTTTATTTGTCAACTTTTTGCGTAGCTCGAAAAGTATTAATGTAAGTGCAGATACCACGTTCAAACTATCCATGCCTGCCGCCAGAGGTATATAGACACACTTGCCTCTACTGCCCACCAGTTGCATAAATCTAAGAGACAAAATAGTTTAGTTGCAAAGTTCTAAATTAACTTGTTTACTTGTAAGCATCCTCGCTAACACCATGACTCTCGCCGCCAATAATGAGAATATTGTGTACTCCAGTCTGTCCCACTTCTGCATAGTCCACTGTATTGCCCGCCAGATTTTCTGGCTTTTTCGGGTTGTTTTCAGCAATGAATACATGACAATGATCGGCCACCTCGGGCGGTATGTGGAGTGGCAGCTGCTCCCAGGTGACATCATCGTGTATGGGCAAACGGAACTGTCCGCCACAGCCGCCGCGCAAAGCCTTCGACTCCCAGGGATCACAGCATCCGTGCGTTACCACCACCTGGCTGCAAGGCAAGGCAGCACATGTGCGTATAATGCTGCCCAGATTGTTGGGCTCTCGTATGTTGTCGCATACAACTGTAATGGGCAGGGGCTCACTGCCCAGCTGCTGCTGCTGCTGTATACCCCGCGTCGAGGGGCGTTCGAACAGAGCCAGCAATCCGGGTGGCGTTACCAGCGAAGACCATGTTTTCAGATCATGTTGTGGCACTTTGTAGATTTTTGTGTTGTCCTCCTGCTGGGCCTGCGCCACCCTTTCGCGCAACAAGGCCAACTGATCCCTTTGGCTAAAGAATAACGAATGCATTTTCAGACGGCATTGCAGGGCTTCCTCTATGAGACGTCGGCCTTCAATAATTATCTGCTTGTTGTTGTCACGGCGTTTGCGTGAACGCACTTCAGTGAGTAATGTGCTCATCAATGGGTCCTGTGGGCATTGTAAAGGCTTTAGATGTATAGTGCAAAGATAGTACCTCTATTCTACCTGTAAAGTGAGTCGCGTAAACTCCAAATTCAATTCGCTGTCTTTTATAAGCGGAGCAGGTGCCCGCTTAACTGTAGGTGTTGGAACATTTCTTGGCAGGGCCGATGTCGCTGTCGTACTCCCAGCTACAGGCTTCTTGTGTGAAGCTGGCTTCTGTTTACTAATTAATGTTAGTTTGTGCTTGCGTAAAGCTTCCCGCGTGCTCACTGGCTGATGCTGCAACAATGAGTTTTCGAACAGGTTCGCCTCAATGTCCAGTGCGTCCTTGATTTCATCATTGTGGCCACTAGAGCTGCCGCTGCTGAGGCGCACCAAATAATAATTATTTACATTCTTTATACCTGTTCGCACACTTCTTTTTATAACATTAAAAAACATCTTTGGAAAATGTTGCCGGTATAACCATATGTTTAATCGATAACAATATCGATAGCGGCAAGTAGTGATGTGCATTTTGGTGTAACGTGCGATTAGCGAAACTTTATTAAGAATATGATCTGCATTTAAAATAGTTCTTTAACCTTCACATGATCTACAAATGTAGTATAAATATGTCAAAATATTATCACAACAAAAATCAATATATTGTAGATATTAATTTAGTATAGGCGAAAGATAAAATATATTTTTCTGATAGGCAATGTCGTGACACGCGTAAAATAGAGTCATGTAAACTTTTCACCCTAGTGGCAACGTTCAACAAGTGTGTTTTAGTGCGAAAGCTGACAACTCTAGTTATCACGAATATTGCATAAAGTTCCACAACTCCGATAGAATATCCAATTTAAGCCTAATTTAAAGCCGGTTTGGACTTGGAATCGCATTATCTGCTCGTAGAAACAGCATGTTAACTAGGTCACTGCTAATTGCCGCCTTGGGTCAGCGCGCACCCAATTGGCTGATGAAACGCAACTTCAGCAACACGCAAATCTTCAGGCAAGCGATCAAAAATCATCAGCCCAATGATTTGGAGAGGCGCTTTCTGGTTTGGAGTGGTAAATACAAGACAGCAGCTGATGTGCCTACCTTTGTAAGGTATGTTAGTCAACGAAAACTAATCTAGTTAACTTGCTAATAGTATATTCGCATTTCTCACAGCCAGGAGGTAATGGAACGCTGCCGCAACAAGATGCGCATTATGTTGGCCAATGTAATGATTGGTCTAACCGTTATCGGATGTGGTATTATGATTTACAGTGGAAAGCAAGCAGCCAAGCGAGGTGAATCTGTGACCAAACAGAATCTGGAATGGCACAAGCAGTTCAATGAGACGGCCTCCACTGGCACCGGAGCAGCTGAAACCAAATAATCATCACAAACTACCAGCACAGCAAAGTAGATCGTTTAATTAATGCAATTGTAAACTGTAAACATTGGAATATTGAAATATTGAAATATTTTCCCGATGTTTTCAATGTCATTAGTTGCAGTAACAATTGCTGCAGAGTAGCCTTAAATTTTAATTGAAACAGTGATATTTCTTGAACTCATGCTAGAAGTTTTTATCCTTATTGTTTGATCAAATTGCCAACTGTTAATTGTAGCACACACAGCACTGAAATAAATATTTACTCAAAGCAAATCACGTTATTAATTAATGTAATTGTAAACTTTAAGCATTGCAATATTGAATTATTTTCGTATTTTTCAATATCCATATCTGTTTTTGAGTTCGATTCAATTAATGGTTGTTATCCGCATTGTTTGATCAAATCGCCAACTGTTAATTGTAGCGCACACTGGACTCAAATAAATATTTACTCAAATTTTATTTCATTAAGCCTTCAGATCTTAATGCTGTATGTGGTCACGGTGGCAATAAATCACTTTTTAAAAATATTAAAACGAATTCAAATACAAATTGTAATCTCTGCAACATAGCTTCGAATGTACATGAATATATTATTTAGATTTAGTCCATGGGTTAATCTAATGATTATATCTCTTACTGTCTACTAGATCAAGGCTCAAAACAGACGGAGATTGTTAAAGATTTTTCTTATACTTTTTATGTATATATTAAGCAGACTAATTCTCCAATGCTAAAAATGTCAACCTCGCTTAAAACTGAATGAATCGAATCATTAGATATTTAATAACAGGCAATTTTTTGTTTGGATTATGTGCGATGCGATCCATTGTATAGCAGCAGAAACATCAACAGTGACCACCACTTGCGCCAGGAGGCAGTGCGTCTGCGCGGAGAGAGAGAGAGAGAAAGAGAGAGAGAGAGAGAGAGTGGGAGCGCGTCCCGGATTGCCAGTCGAAGAGAGCGCAATGGACTTACACATGGCCAGCAGGCGACTACGTAGGAGACGCAGATGGGTGCAGCAGCAACCCTGCCGCTCTTCGGCTGCTGCTGCTGCTGCTGCGCGCTTTTCACTTTCCGTTCTTTCAGTTTGTCGAGAACGTTTGAACGCATCGGGACTTTGGAAATCGTGCGTGCAGGCAAAGCTAAGCAAAGAAACAAGAGAAAAAAAATATATAATTTCAAGTTGCAAGCAAACGCTGAAAAAGAAATGTGCAAAATATAGTGTAAAAATAAAAGCCAAAAGCGTTAGGCAAAAATGTGCGGGCAGCGTGAAAAAAGCTAAAACGAGAGCAAGTGTAAAAATGTAAACTACACACGCACAACACTCACACACAAAATACATGAATGTAAGTGTAAATGCCTGGTTGTAAACGCATAAGTTGTGTGTGTGTGTGTGTGTGTTTGACATACCAATGACCACAGACACTGCAAAAGGCAACAATAACAAAAGCTAACTGAAATATTAATAAACTAATTGTTTAATCAAACAGATTGATGCGGAAAATCCATAATAAAAAGAACATTAGACGCGCTATTTGTGCGTCTCTCTGTATGTGTGAGTGATTTTTTTCTTTCAAAAAGCAACTGTGTATGTGTGTGCGTGTGCGTGTGGGTGGGTTAGATTGTGTATGGATGCGCGCTTGTGTGTGTGTGTGTGTAGCAACATTCGTATGCTTTTTTGATTTGTGAAAATGTGTGTATCCGCGCGAATGTTGTTGTTGCGCGACGAGACGACAGTGTCAGTCGCCTCGTGTAGGAACTCCTACATAAACCAAAAAAAATAAATAAATAGAAAGGAAAATGGAATACAAAATTGTCCTTGTAGAAAAATCATGTTAATAATAATAATTGTATGATATGTCATTGGAATTACGCCCCGTTGCGTGCAAGATAATAATAATAATAACAACAAAAACAAGCTGCTGGCCCAAATTACGTGCACCCGCTTTTCATTTTAATGTGCATCAGTCAGGAGCCGCGGCTGCAGCAGCAGCAGCAGCAACAACAACAGAAAGTCATTCAACGAAAACTAACGGTGACGGCCGCGGCGGCTGTTTTGCGCTCTCTGTGTGTGAAAGTGAAGGTCGTCTGTAGGAGAGAAAGAGCGCACAGTATCAGCAGCAGCAGCAGCAGCAGCAGCAGCAGTAAGCAGCAGGCAGCAGCAGCAAAGTCCAAACAGTCCATTTGTTGGCGCAAATGTGCGAAAAATCCTTGGCTTGGTTTTCGGCGCAACAACAAAGCCACATTAATACTCATGCACGCATCAACATTCACACACACACACACACACACACACACACACACACACACACACACAGATGCATATATACACTTGCTTGGCATAACTCTTTGTATGCACGTGTCAGTGCCGTTGTGTGTGTGTGTGTGTGTGTGCGTGTTTATGACGCGCTTGATGCACAGCAGCTGCTACTGCGGCCCTCCTGCATTTGTGTTTGTTACTTATTGTTGCTTTTGTATTATCAGCACAGATGCAAATCCCTTGAAAGCTTTAAATTCCGCCTTGGTTTAGTGGTTTCGCGCTAGTTTTCAAGGATTTTCGAGATTTGACGCAGTGTGTTCTTATCAATCTTAAAGCTCGGGCATGTGGATTGCTGTAGGAATATAGAGAATAGAATATTAAATAAATGGAGATTGATATTTATAGAGAATTAATTATTCGAACTTTTCTACATTTCATAAATATATCGCAATTGGGTTCGTTTGAAGTGTAAATGTTTACAAATAGTTGCGGTTCAAAGTTCTTGCACAGCCTTGAAACTGTGCATGTGACAAAAGATGCATTAGTTCACAAATATTGTATAATTAAAGAATTCTCGACTGTTATATCAGATCTGCACTAAGAATAAACCAGAGTAAAGGTTTTTTATTTCGTTACTACTTACATAAGCTGCGTCCGATACTTCTTTTTATTATTTAAAATTAGTTTGTATATTGATTCCTGAAAATAATTGATTTAATATTTATTTAATCCCAAACTTCTTACATAAGCTTTGTCAAATATGAATTAGCGATATATACATATTTTTTTTTATTTTTTATTTTTAAGTAAAGGGGAGTTTAATATTTATTGTTTCTCAAATCGTTTCAATCAATGCTACTTCGGCAGCCCTGGCATACACATCGTATACATACGTATGTTCTTCGCCCCCAGCTATATGTGAGATTATTTGCAGATATAATCACATTTCACGCTTGAAAGGCTTGGCGGGCCTACATAAATTACGCCATTGCCTTCGAGTACCCTGCGTCTCCACACATCCTGCATATTTTCCGAGCTGGGGTCCACTTGCACGTTCTTGTTTCGGCTACGTTTCGCCCCGTCCCGTCCCGTCCCGCTGCTTTGCTCGGGCGCCTTGTCCTCAGTGGCGCGTTAAATGCGACCGAAAAGTTTTTCGGGATTGCTGATGCGTTCCACTGATAAGCAAGCACAACTCTCTCTAAAGTCGTTTCGCTTTTTATGAGTTTCGCAATTAGTTTGAATGGCATCTAGTTTATTCTGCAATCCAATAGCTTGCACATGACCCGGGGACATCTAAGGCCTTGCCCAACTGTAGAATTTATCATCTGATTGTCGAATGTGTGCAGGCAATTTAAATAATAAATTAGTTTTTGCTTGCAATCGCATGCTGGGAGTTGTTTTGTACACCCGGGCGTATACTTAATATGTTAAATTAATAATAAGCATACGCATCGTTGACCACGAAGCAAGCTGAGTAGTAAGTGCCTTCTAAATTGAATCAAATAAGATTGTTTTATGCAAAACAAACAATGAAAATTATTTTATTTATATTGAATTTACATTATCATTTATTCTTTAATTACAAATATTTTAGTAACATTATCTTCTTGCCATTACTTATATTTTGTGCCATTTATCAATTCGCCTGAAAGGTTGTTTATTCATTTTCGGCTCATCAATTTACGATTGTCCGCTTAGAATTGTCATTTGGTGCTGTTAAAAATGATAAATCAACATTGTTAAAATCGTCAATGTGTAAAGTTTTTCAATATTCTCGCATTAACGTAACAAGACACTCGTATTACACGAAATAAACCCATCGTCCATTGAGTTGGTGGGCGGCTGGGGAGATGGATACATAAGCGTCTCTTAAGCAGCCCGGACGCAAAATTATGAAATGCTCATAAGTCGCAGAGACAGGCAGAGCAGAATGTTCTTAATGTTGAGCCGACGACGCCAACAACGACAACGAAGTCGACGTAGACCCAAAAAAAAAAAACACAAATAATGAATAAAAAAATGAAATAAAATAAATATAAAAATACCGCCTAGCGACCCAAACCAAAATTAACCACCCACATTCAAAATCCCCCCTGGGGCCTCTGGGCAGGCGCAGACTTGGCTCTTCTCTCGCGCTGGCTGCTCTCTGGTCTATTCCTGCATTTGGAAATTTTCAATAGTTTGGTTTTCTAATGCCGCCAACGCAGACCCCAAAAAAAAAAAAAAAATTAAAACATACAAAACTTGCTTGTAAACAAAATCCAGCAAAGGGGCAGCAACAACAAGAAACGGTGGATGCTAGTGTTTGTGTGTGTGCTGTTATTGTTTAAATATAGCACACAACTAAATGTAAACATTGTTAACGTATTGTCCATAAAAACACAAAATGGAAATGCACAGACATAAAAATGCGTTTATGAACCAAAAGTATCATGAGTTTCCCTGCAATGTCCCATATATTTTTGTTTAATAGTATGCGAATTTGGCGGTTCCGGCGGTCGAAACTAGGAAATTGCGGCCGCAAGGGAGCGTGCGTGAGAGAGAGAGAGAGAGAGAGAGAGCGGCAAACTTACACAAGACGTGCGAGAGTAAGAAGGGGCTAGAGAGGGCGAATGGGAGAGAAGAAAATGAGAAAACGTTAGACGTGTAGCGAAAGTCAACTCATAATAAGGCCCGTAATTGGGTCCCTCGCAAAAAATGCACAGGATTTCCGTAGATTTTACGTGTATTTCATCCATTAACTAACAAGAGCTGCGTGGAGAGGAAGGTCTTTGGTAATGGGGTGCGCAGTTCTCAACAATAAACAAAACTACAAAAAAACGCGAATTTGCGAAAATACTTAAGCAATTGAAATGGTTGCAACGAATTGCGAATGCACTATTTGTCTGTGCGTACTTAATATACTTATGTTTATTCATTATATATTGAGGGGTATTGAAATATTGTTTACAAATATTTCAGCAGTAAAAATATGTTCTTAAATACTTGATTGATGTTATTTTATTTAAGCACATAAGCATTGGTATGTCTGGAATTTATGGATTTATGGGATTTACTCGTATACGTATAAACATAATGTGTCTGTTTTGATGTTTCTCATAAATGAAATTCCTGGTGTTTATGAAAGTATTAAAAAAATGTTATAAAAAGCGAATAATGCGCATTTCAAGCTGAAAAGTCAAAACAATTGTATTAAATTTACGATTTTTATTTTAAAAGAAAGTAATTACTTTGCTCGTGGTCCAAGCAGACATATTTTACTGTATAACTCAGTCCAATATGGGAAAAAAGTCCAATATGGGATTAAGAATATTTGGCTAATAATTTAATCTATATAATCTGTAAACTTCAAATGAACTTTACTCGTTATTTGACTTTCTATTGAGCCTCCGATTGGCATCAAATATTTAATAATTACAATCATTGTTTATTTGTTCACTTTTCTATTTGGATTTGTATTTAGAATGTTGTGAGTGAAATGTTTATGTTATATGTGCCCATCACAAGGCTCAGAAACAAGTCAATTACCCCCAACAATATTTTTTTTTGCAAGGGCAACTGACAAACAACTGAAAGACAAATTGTATACAATGTTGGTTTATGGGCGCGCGCTGTGAATGGATGAATGTGCATCAATATACGACTTTGGGTCATTGTTGTTGTTCTTCTTCTTGTCGCTGCACTCTGCGTTAAGATAACGACAATTACCATAACCTTGAGACGCGCTGCCAGATAGAAAAAATAAATGTATTATGTCAACTTAAGTAACAACAAATAATTAGGGCCCAACAAGATTT